TTACACATTATGGAGTCGCGCAATGGAGATTGCTCTGCTTGGACGAAACAAATTGGGATTCATTGATGGCTCTGTTTTACGAAGTGATTTCGATGGACCTTTGAAGAAAATCTGGGATCGTTGCAATGCGATTGTGATCACCTGGCTTACTTGTAATGTGAGTAAAGACTTGCTCAGTGGTATTCTCTATTCTTCAAGTGCAAATCAGGTATGGCTTGATCTCAAGGAACGATTTGACAAAATCAATGGATCTAGGCTTTTCCAATTGCATAGAAACATCTTCACTCTCACACAAGGAACTTTGACTGTGTCTGCTTATTTTACTAAATTGAAGAGTCTATGGGATGAGTATGATTCGATTTTACCTCCACTTAGTTGTGACTGTCATAAAGCAAAGGATTATGTTGAACAAATGCAGTATCAGAAATTGCTCCAATTTCTAATGGGGCTGAATGACAGTTATTCACAGGCAAGAGGTCACATTCTGATGAAAGTCAAAAAGGAATTGCTGGTTCTATTCATGAGGAAATGGAGTCCTTAGCTATGTACTCTGGTAGAGCTACTGGGTCACCACAATTCAATAACAACAGGCAGTCATATCCTAGAAGGAATTTTCATTCCTTGTATTGTGATTTCTGCAACATGAAGGGGCATGTTAGAGCAGATTGTAATAAACTGAAGAAGTGTGATAATTGTAATGCAACTGGTCATGTGAAGGACAATTGCTATTTGCTTATTGGATATCCTGATAACTTCAAGGGTAAGAGGAAAGTCAATACAGTGATGGGAGATTGTACTAACACACAAAGACAGATGCAAAATGTGCAGGATCACATGGAATGGAAAGCACACACAGTCATCGGGGAGCAATCACAAGGAGGAGGTCAAGTCACACAAGAGCAATTACTGAAAATGATGAAAAACTCATCACCAACACAACTTAATCAGATCTTCAATGTATTGAATGAGAACAACAAGATAATAGAGAATTCTCAGAAAAGTGCTTGTATGGCAGGTAATCCCACTTCCACTTTCATTTCTTCCTTGAAATGGATTATAGACATTGGGGCTACTGATCATATGATTCATAATCACAATCATTTACATTCTAAGACCATGGTGAGAAGCTTAGGAAAGGTGGAGTTACCTACAGGTGAATCAGCTATAGTGTCTCATATTGGAAGTCTGCAGATTAATGAGAATGATTTGGTCACAAATGTGTTGTGTATACCAACATTCAAGTTTAATCTCTTGTCTGTCTCTGAACTGACAAAAGAATTGAACTGTCGTGTTATTTTTTTTCCTACATACTGTGTGTTTCAGGACCTCTTGTCTGGGAAGGTCAAGGGGATTGGTGATGTAGAGGATGGATTGTATGTCCTAAACTGGAATGCAGATCAACAGCAGGCAAGGATTCAAACTATGTCTGCAATTAGAACAAATAATGGAGATCCAACACTTTGGCACAAGAGACTAGGACATGTTCCTATGGGAGTAATTAGGAAAATAAAAGAATTTAGTTGTAGTAGTTTTCACATTGATCAATGTCTTATCTGTCCACAAGCTAGGTAGACTAGAGGCTCATTTCCTGTGAGTCATACTATAGTAGATGAGATTTTTGACCTGATACATATGGATGTTTGGGGTCCCTAAAAGGTGACTACTTACAATGGGATGAAATACTTTCTCACTTTAGTTGATGATAAGTCTAGATGGACATGGACATTCTTACTGGCTTTAAAGTCTGATGTAATTGTTGTTTTGAGACAATTTTTGTTGATGATAAAGAACCAATTTGGGAAATGTGTCAAAGTTTTCAGGTTTGATAATGGAGGTGAATTTTTGAATTCCACTTGTCATGATCTGTTTGTTATGCATGGTATTATTCATCAAAGATCCTGTCCACATACTTCATAACAAAATGGAGTGGTGGAAAGGAAACATAGGCATTTGTTAGAAACTGCAAGGGCTACTAAATTCCAAGGATGTTTGCCTAATAGATTTTGGGGAGATTGTGTGGAAGCTGCCACTTATATCATCAACAGAAAGCCTTTGTCTGTGCTTGGAAATAAGTCCCCATATGAGCTTTTCTATCACAAGTCACCTTCTCTAGCTCACATTAGAGTCATTGGTTGCTTGACATTTGCTACGAATCTTAGAAGGAATGATAAATTTGCTCCTAAGGCCAAGAAAGCTGTGTTTTTGGGATATGCTGTAAATCAAAAAGGATACAAACTATTGGATATTGAGTCCAAACTTGTTTTTGTCAGCAGAGATGTTCTATTCTTTGAAGATATATTTCCTTTTCAAGCTACAGGGTTGGATGAGGCCAATGAGCTTGAACCTACTATGTTTACACATACAGATGATGGCCTTACACCATGTGTTGTCTTCAGGAATATGGTACAAACTGATCAGCATGGAGTTGATGATACTGCAGACCATGATTCATTTATCACTACTGCGCCCTCCATAGAAACACACACACATGCTAATTATTCTCAGAATCAGATAACCTCAGTACAACCTGCACCTACTCAGATTGATTCTCAGGATCAGAATCAAGTTCCATTAGTACAGTCTATTCCTAATCATATTGTTGTGACCAGAAGATCCAACAGGCCTGCTAAGCCTCCTATCTGGCATACAGACTACATATTGACAAAGAAGAAGACCACTTCTGGAGATTGCTCTCACTCCATTGCTAATGTAGTAGACTATCACAGCATCTCACCAGCTTATAGAAGTTAATTATGTGACCAAGTTCTCTCAGGAAAGGGAACCACTTTCATATAATGAGGCCCTACAGGATTCTAGATGGATTCAAGCTATGAAAGATGAGATACAAGCACTGGAAAATAATCACACATGGGAGATTGTTGAGTTGCCTGAGGACAAGAGGGTCATAGGATGTAAATGGGTATACAAAATAAAGTATAAGGCTGATGGTGAGGTTGATAGGTTCAAAGCTAGGCTGGTAGCCAAGGGTTACAATCAAAAGGAAGGGATGGAGTATCAAGAGACTTTCTCACCTGTAGTAAAAATGGGAACTGTCAGGGTTGTCATAAGTTTGGCTGCTGCACATCATTGGCAAATCCATCAGATGGATGTGTTCAATGCATTTCTTCAAGGAGATTTAAATGAAGAAGTATACATGGAGTTACCTCTGGGATTTGTTCACCAAGGGGAGAAGGGGACAGTGTGCAAGCTCATCAAGTCACTCTATGGACTCAAACAAACTAGCAGACAATGGAATATTAAACTAACTACAGCTCTAATTGATTTTGGTTTTCAGCAGAGTCACTATGACTACTCATTATTCACCAAGCATAAAGGACCGAGTTTAGTGATGGTGTTGATATATGTTGATGACTTGCTTGTTACAGGGAATGATCACAAGTTGATATTGGAAACAAAAGATATTCTCAAGGACAGGTTCAAGATTAAAGACTTGGGTGAATTGAGATATTTTTTGGGAATCGAATTTGCCAGAAATGAATCAGGGATCCTTATGCATCAAAGGAAATATTGTCTTGAGTTAATCTCAGACATGGGATTGTCTAACTCAAAGACAGTTGCAGCTCCTATTGAGCTGAATCAGAAGCTCACAACTACAGAGTTTGACTTACATTTTCCTACTGATAATGGAGATGATAGGGTGCTGGATGATCCTAGTGTGTATCAGAAATTGGTAGGAAGGTTGCTTTACCTAACAATAACAAGACCAGACATAGCCTTTGCAGTACAGCTCCTAAGCCAATTCATGCATAGCCCTAAAACATCTCATATGGAAGCAGCAATGAGGGTAGTAAGATATGTCAAACAAGCACCAGGGATGGGAATACTTATGACAGTCAATACAACTAACCAGTTAATTGCATACTGTGATGCAGATTGGGCTGCATGTCCAAACAACAGGAAATCAATCACTGGTTACATGGTTACATATGGAGGTTCTTTGGTCTCATGGAAGTCAAAAAAGCAGGATACAATTTCAAGAAGCTCAGCTGAATCTGAGTATAGGAGTTTGGCTTCAACAGTTGCAGAAATTATATGGCTGGTTGGTCTCTTTAAGGAGTTAGGGGTGGAACTAAAGTTGCCAGTGCCTATATATAGTGACAGCAAATCTGCCATACAGATTGCAGCCAATCCAGTTTTCCATGAACGAACCAAACACATAGACATCGACTGTCATTTCATAAGGGAAAAGGTACAACAGGGAATGGTTCAGCCTATGTATCTGAAGACAACAGAACAGCCTGCAGATTTATTCACTAAGGGACTCACTCATCTACAACACACATATTTGCTTACCAAGCTAGGAATGAAGAATGTTTTCCATACTCCTAGCTTGAGGTAGGATGTTGAGCAATTAGTTAAATGTACAGGTGTTGATTAGTTAGAAGTTAGTTAGAATAAATTAACAAATTGTGAGTCACTGTTAGTTAGTTAGTATCAGTTCTTTCCCTTCTGTATAAATAGATAGCTTGTAACAGATTTCATTCATTCAATATAATTTTCCTCTTTCACTTTCACTGATCTTAACACATATATGGTGTATATCTTCTAAACCCAAGTATTGTTGCCTTTAACTATTTGTGCCATTGAATAATTTTACCAAACAGATTACTTCTTTTAGGTGGTGGACAATCCCACTCACATGATGACCATCTTCATGATCACTCTGGTCATTCACACGCCCATTCATTGGAGGATCTTTCTGTTGGATTGTCCATTTTGGGTAGATTCTGCTTTTAAATTTCATCATTCATTTTGTGAAATTTGTATGTTTAGTTTTGCATGAAACATACTGGGGAGGTTTTGCTCCATTATCACAAAATAGGAAATATCAGAATTTGTAGCATTCAAATATTCCAAAGGAAGAAAACGCTTATTTATGATTTAAAATATCATGTTCTGCCTTTTAATTTGCCAGATGTTCTCCAGTGTGAGCTTCATGGTGCTGACTGAGGATGACATGACAGCAAATGTAAAAGGATATGAGCATCCAACCTAAAACTCTAAGGCAATGTGTAGAGAGCTCAAGATCTTTATAAACCCCTTTTGGAAATCCTTACATCATCTGTGGAACAATATTTTAACTCGAAAGTTGTCATCATTTTGCAGGGTGGTGTCTTTTATAATTTTTTAGGGCAGGGCTTGAATTCTTATCTTCAACTTAACTTCCTTTTACTGTATTTTAATTCTTCGGATAACTCTTATTTTTACTCCTTAACTTTTGTTGAACTTAAAATCATCTTCTAAGTTAACTGCTGAATGTTTCATTATACTTTTGTTTTGGCAGCTGGAATAGTGCTCTTTCTTATTGTTGAGAAGCTTGTGAGGTATGTTGAAGATTTTTCTGGAGGAGTCATGGTCACCACCATCATCATCATATGCACTACACAAAATTGAAGGATAATAATGATGCTGATGAGAATCTCCAGGAACTGTCTCAGGAGAAGGATGGAATTTTATCAGAAAAGGCAGCTGGAGTGGATGGAGTGTCTGCTGACTCTCCCAATGGGGATAAACCAAATGGAGGAGCTATTCTACGGAAGGTAGAATCAATACATGCCCCATAATTTGCTGTTCCATATTTTGCCATGCTGAGATTCAGTAAAGTGTTTTTCTTGTCAGGATTACTAAAACAAATACTGGAAAATAATAATTTCATTCAGAATTTAGAGGGTCCTGTAAACCTTTCCTTCAGCATAACATGCTGTGAGGCACCAACCAAAACACAAATAACTACTTTGTCAAGATAAGGTTTCTTAATGTAATTGCTGTCAAATTGTTTCTTTCCACTTTTCATACTTGACTTGAACTAAATGCAATCATGTGATACAATATTGTACATTAATAAGCAATTGCAGTTTATGTTTAAGTAATCAATTTGAAAAACACTTTTGCCAATATTAGAGCACTTTTTTTAGCTTCTGCTACTACTCGTAAGCACTATTTTTTTCCTAAAAGCTTGTCCAAACACCTCAACTTTCTAAAATAAACAATTTTTGAAAAAAAAAAATATATATATAGTTGTTATTTCTATCGTCTCATATGCTAACTAAAAGAAATATAGTCTGAGCCAAGAAGCTGATAAAAAATTTCAGATACAGAACATTCAAAGATCAAAGAAATATAAGGTAGCATATATATATGTTAGTCTGAGCCAAGAAGCTGATAAATAACAAGTTAAAAGAAAATAGTAAAGTAACCAAACTGCTTGAAAAGTGAAATTCAAAGTAGAAAGAGCTAGAAAGAAACCAAGTCTATCTTGTGATATGCGCGATGAAAGAATCCAACTCTATTTGAGAAGCACCCCCTTTCTCTGTGGATTGTCTTACAGCTTCTCCCAATTCTTCTGCTCTTTTTCTAATCAGGTCACCTTCTTCTGATGCCATCAACTTCCTCACGACATTCTTAATAGTGGATGCACTTACTACCTCCTCGCGTTTCCCCAAATCTCTAACAAGCAGGCCTATTTTCAATATTTCCGTCACCAAGAAACCATTTATTGGTTGATCAGTGTGTATAGGCCAAGCAGCTATAGACACTCCCATAGTAATACTCTCTAAGCAAGAGTTCCAATCACAATGACTCATGAACCCGCCTGTAGACGAATGAGCCAAGATTTCTGATTGTGGTGTCCATTCTCTTACCACTAACCCGACCTCTTTTACTCTTTCCTCAAATCCTTCAGGCAACTCAACTTTTCCAGCTTCCCCTTAAAAGATATCTCCTCTATCGGCATCTCTCAGCACCCATATAAACCTCTGTTTACTCTGCTCTAATCCCATCGCGAGCTTCTTGATTTGTCTATCAGAAAATGAAGTTATTGCTCCAAAAGATACAAAAAGAACTGATCTTGGAGGTTGTTTGTTCAGCCAATCCAAACATATATTCTCCCTATTCGACATATAATCGAGTTTAGTAGGCAGAATAGGTCCAATTGCCCATTGTTTCTTGTTCAGACTAATTTCTGCTTGTTCCATCAAATCAATATACTTGCTTTCAATTACTTTACTTGTATTATGGATATCACCTGATCTAATATCCATATATGGATGTTGAGAATCTGACAAGTCCATAGCTTCATCTGTTGTAACTCCTTCAAGGGAATATAGCTTTGTAAGCAATTCTTCTTCATGTTGGACAGAAATCTTTAAAAATAAGCACATCATAATGTAGCATGAGAAAACTGAAATGCAGTTAAATATATAGGATTCAACATTGGGCAAAGAAGAAACATCTTGTACATTGTAAGACATCATAGGATCATGAACAACGATGACTCATCTTACTTTTGATGAAATATCGCGTATGAAAGAAGCAATGGGATCGTGAAGAAGCATAGAAGCATCCCATATTGTCTCAAAGGCAATTAGTTCAGGATTTGGAAGGTCATGGAAGTGAATTTTGGCTATGTTTGAAGGATTTAACGCGTTAGCTCGAATCCTGGCTTGATGATTATGTGTTGCCAATCCAACATAGTAGACAGGAAGACCATAGGAGGAGATTAAACATGAAAGTTGGAGAAGTTGGTTGAGATGACCTTGAGCTGGAAATGGTACCATAACTATAGCTACTTCATCTTGTTTCAGTTTGCTAAATTCATGGTTTTCTACTTGTGTCATGGTAGAAGCAGGGAGGTAACAACTTTGAAGTTTATTCAATCTTTTATAGAAGATGTTGTTGAAGTGAGTGTGTATATATATACTAGTGGTTGAAGGAGTCGTAAAATTCTATGAGGTTAGTGTGTTCAAGTCCTACCAGCTTCATAATTATACTCATTTTTTTTAACTACAATCGTTGACACCCTTAATAACAATTCTGGTCTGCTGCTGTGTGTATGTATGTAAGAGACTAGGGGTCGTTTGGTAGAGTGTATTAGGAAATATAACGCATGCATTAGGTGTGTGTATTAGTAATACCTTGTTTGGTACACTTTTTTATGTCATGTATAACTAATGCAAGCATTAGTTATACACTATATTGTGTATTACTAATACCAAGAAATTCTAGGTATTAGTAATACATAGCATTTTAACACTTGCATTATATTATATAATTACAAAAGTACCCTCAAAGCCTTTTAAAAAAACATTTTCCATAGTACTTGTTTCAGAAACCTTTCACCTCTCTGTACTTTGTCAATGGAAATTCAAGAGTAGGTTTCTTCTTCCTTTTGCTCAATCGAACATTGTTTGCTCATCTTTACAAGGTTAGTACTCTTATCTTTCATTAAAATCTATATTTTTCAACATCTCTTTCACAATTTAAGATGAAATTTAGGTTTAGCTTGTTTTTTTAATATGCTTTGAGCTCATCTATTCCACTCTTTATATGGTCGAAAATTAGGAATTTATGCACATAGATACTTATTTAAAAGCTTTATATGTATTCATTCTTATTTTTATGGCAAATATAGGTGTTATTATGGATCTTCAACCATTATCATGTATTGAATATATTATTCTTGTGGAGATATTGTTTCAGCAAGTTCTTGTTCTCCTTATTTGTCTTTTCATGGCTAGTCATGGTTAGGTATTGAATATAATATATTATTCTTGTGGAGATATTGTTTCAGCAAGTTCTTGTTCTCCTTATTTGTCTTTTCATGGCTAGTCATGGTCATTCTCTAAGAAGACGATGTCGAAACAGACGTGAGGTTAGGTATCGTATGAGTGTTCGAGTTCCGAAAATCATTTCTCACTTACACTATATCATAAATGATAATGGTAGTGTATGTATCGATAAGTTAAGAATGGATAGAAATGCCTTTCACACTTTAGTTCTCTTAACTAAGGATATTGGAGGTCTGACTAATAGTAAAAGTATGTCAAGCAACGGAAAATTAGCAATGTTTTTAAATATCTTGGCTCACCATGAGAAAAATAGATCAATCAAGGTTGATTATATTAGATCGGGATGGAGCGTAAGTCAGGCTTTCAATGAATGCTTGAGTGCTATTCTCAAACTAACTCCATTGCTACTTGTTAATCCTAAACCAGTACTTGAGGATGAGATTGAAGATCGATGGAAATGGTTTGAGGTAGGTGAAATTGTCATTTATCATCTTTTAACTTGTATACAAAATATGCAGTTTTAACAGTTTTAGAAAAATATTATATATTTTGAGATAACACTATAATTTATCTTAAAGGGTTGTTTAGGTGCACTAGACGGTACTTACATTCCCATTAGAGTTCCAATCCAACACAAACCAAGATATAGAACAAGAAAAGGAGAGATAGCAACTAATGTTTTGGGAGTTTGTGATAGAAATCTCAATTTTACTTATGTGTTACCTGGATAGGAAGGTTCAGCTGCCGATGGTCGTGTATTACGAGATGCTATAGTACGAAGGAATGGTTTGTAAATTCATGAGGGTAGGCCTTATATATGCTTTCAAGTTACATCATAGAAAGAATGGTACTAGTAACTAAATTATATGTTTATATTATAGGTAACCATTATTTTTGTGACGGAGGATATACGAATGGAAAAGGATTTCTTTCACCTTATCGAGGTTATAGATATTGGTTAAAGGATTGGCGAGGCGATAATCCATCGCCTCGATGTAAAGAAGAGCTTTTCAACATGAGGCATGCTAGAGCTCGTAATGTAATTGAAAGGGCATTTGGTTTGTTGAAAGGACGTTGGGGAATTCTTAGAAGTTCTTCATGGTACTCGGTTAAGGTTCATAACAGGATCATTAGTGCTTGCTGCTTGATTCATAATTTCATTCGTAGAGAGATGGAAGTGGATCCCTTAGACATTGATATAGAAGAACAAATGGAGTATCAACACGAGAATATTGATGTTGTTGAATCGTCGGAGGAGTGGACCACTTGGAGGGATGAGCTGGCTCAATCAATGTGGAATGCAAGATTTAACAATTGACATATTGCTACTTGTTAGCTATAGAACCTTTTTGGACTTCATTTGCTCTTTAGAACTGGCCTAGTATAAATTGTTTAACTGCCAGAAACTTTGGATTCCAGAAGAAGAACAAACTCTTTTAGATGGGCTTAAAGAGTTATGTGCTAATGGTTGGAGAGGTGATAATGGAACCTTTAGACCAGGACACTTGATGGAGTTAGAACGTTATATACACAAATATCATCCTACAAGTGGATTGAAAGGTGAACCACACATCAAAAATAAAATGAGATATTGGAAAAGATGCTATGGAAGTATAGCTTTGTTGAAGACTCGAAGTGGTTTGGGATTTCAATATAGTGATGGAACTATAATAGTTGACGATCCAAAACATTGGATTGACTTTATAAAGGTAATTAATATATTTTTGTTATTTCATATGGTACTTTCCTTATTAGTTCCTTTAATTATTCATAGTTGATGTGCCTTTAAACTAGTGATCAAGTAAATTGTTATCATCACATATACAGTAGCATCTAGCCTCTCTTTAGATCTTTTTACAATTAATTAATATCATATTGTTCTATTTTATTTTTTAATTTTCTAGATTGATCCACAAGCCAAGAAAATGAATACTAAGAAATGGGCCATTATTTGAGGATTGGGAAGAAATCTTTGGTAAGGATAGAGCAACATGAGAGTTCGCTGAAGGGCCGCTAGATGCTACTGAAGAAATTCAAAAGAGTCAAGCTCCACAACATTCTAATGACATGAGTTTGGGATTTCCTATTGATGTTGATCTTGATGTTGATCTTGATGATGAAGAAGAAGAAGAAGAAGAAGAAGAAGAAGCTTACCATAGCTCTAAAGTTGGTACTGAAGAAGCTGAAAATGCCACTGGACAAGGTGGATTTGCTACAACTGAAGATTTCACCGAACCTAGTTCATTTACTGGAGCTGAAAATGTCACTGGACCTAGCGTGGATTTGCTACAGCTGAAGATTTCACCGAACCTACTTCATTTACTGGAGCT